TGACTCCTGGAGAGTTTTTGTACCTATTAATATCTTTTTTAAATGTACCAGTTGCATAGCAAAGTCCTTCCGTTTCTGTTTGTTAGGTTATGCTATCCTCGCTTTATATCTTTTCAGTGTGGTAAGGAGTACAGTCTTAAGGTGTGTTTATTTTTTCAAAACATTGTTTCTGTGTATAATGATCGCGTGTACGTGGAGGTAGCTATACATGTTTATTACATATGCAGGCTCTGCTTCCTGCTTTGCAGTCCTGCACAGTGGTTGTGCTTTGGGTGAACAGCAGTGAATACCTGGGTTTCTAAGGCAAAGAAAGTATAGGGAAACCTGTCTGAGAGATACTTAATAAGGACGATAGATACATTGTTTAGGATTTGGGACTCGTACGTTGTAGTCCCTCCCTACGGACCCGACAGGCACTCGTCAGACACAGGGGCGGACTGACAACTCATGGGGCCCCCAGGCAATAGGGGATCATGGGGCCCCTGTGTCCTCGCTCAAACTCGAAAAAAGCCTATGAAAAAGGTACCAGGTGCATCTCATGGGGCCCCCTACTGATCCCTGGCCCTCGGACAGTGCCCGAGTTTCCAAATGGTCAGTCCGCTCTTGGTCAGACATATACATTATCGCATATGTGCACACAAAGTAATACATATATACATATTTGTTATTAACTACATATATTTTATCCCAGTTTGTGTATAACAAGATCCAAGGCCCTGAGGAAGCAGTTTTACCACGAAACGCGTCAGCATTCTAAATTAGGAGCCTAGGACTTCATTCACACTTGCACGACTGTGAGTGCAACTTTCATGTGCATTTCATGCAACTTTACACTCTCTGGCACTCAAGTCACAAGAAAGTTGCATCAAAGTAGTGCAGGAACCTTTTCAAAGTCATTGTGACTTTAAGTAGCATAGGTTGGAACGTGTGCCATTTAAATCACTGGGCTGCGACTTGTCATGTGACTTTTATTCCAAAGTCACATGACAAGTTGCACTAGTGGAATCAGGGGCGGACGGACAACTCATGGGGCCCCTGGGCAATAGGGGATCATGGGACTGCTGTGTCCTTGCCCACACTCAAAAAAACCTATAAAAAAAAGGTATCAGGGGCATCTCATGGGGCCCCCTACTGACCCCGGGCCCTTGTGCTTGAATGGTCAGTCCGCCCCTGAGTGAAACAGAGCCTTAAAATGAAGCTTTGTTTTAGCTTTAGATAGAATTAGGAGTGGTAAGAACTCCTGTCAGGGTCCCAGTGACAGGGACTGAAAGGGTGGAAAATCCAAAATGTTGAGGTGTCACAAGAGCATAGGCATTAGATCTACTTTTAATATGTGAAAGAAGGTAAAAGATTCTCCTGAGTCCGTATAACATTAGCGTCAAAATGTCTGTGCAGATGATGGTAAAGTACCCCCCAGGATTGTCATACGTAGGATGTGTTTTTGGGAAAGCAATAATGTACACAAAACCGGTGACCACCGTGAGTCAGGAAGAGGCAGTCCTAGACAGAATTGGGCCAGTTGGGGCACATTTGATCAGTGTGAGAAAAGCTGTCTGAGAACAAATGGCTTTTGTTGGCTGTAGGTTGTTTCACTTTTTTTCTGTTGACGTTAATATCTGGATGTTATTGTATCAGTGTGTCAATGTTTCATACTTCATGAACGATTCATCTTCATACAACTGGTGAAACTTTCATAACACAAAACATCGATTTTCCCAGGAAGTGATCGGGGGGACGGCACATCACCTTGGTGTCTGAGTATATTCTGTCCCCCTCCAAATGTTGAGACAAACTTCAGAATGGCATTTGTTTGCCGTGTACACCTCAGTCTAGCAGACGCAGAAATGTTATTTATGGCTGGTAAAACCGCCGCCAAAATGCAGCCCAGGACTTACGGCCGAGGAGCAGTTCTGTCTGCCTGAAAGAAAACTTTATAGCATTCCAAATTACAGCTTTCATAAATATATTTGCCATTTTTCATTTCTTGAAAGGAAAAAGGGGAGGCTGCAGTCAGATTTTGGAATGCACATGTGAAAGCGATCAGCATATTGTAAATAAACTTATCAATGTGTTAATGAATTCAAAATGTTTGTTTGTAAAAGTATAGGCAGCCAGGAGAAGTGTGTACTACTTACATACTGTGCTGTTTGCTTGCTTAGCTTTGCTGTACAATGGCCATACCTTAGTGATTGACTTATCTCACTGCAAGTGTACCCAGCAATCTGTGTTCTCCAATCAGAAATACCTGGTAGCCACGTGATCAAGGCTGCTTCAGAATTAGGTCTTGTTACGGAGAGCTTGAAAGTGTTTTTTTTTGTTCTACCCATGGCAAGCAAATTGTATTTTTTCCTATTAGTAGATTAGTATTGTGGTATTACGTGCTTTGTTCATTCAGGTTTAGTCTGAATTTGAATGTCAGGTCCTCTTTGTCCTGGTTTCAACAACTCCTGGGCTTGTAAAATACTGCAAGGATCAAAGTCTTGTGTGTATCACCCATAACAGCTAATCAGGGTATATCTTGCACTGATGTGACTTCAGTCAAATTCATTTATCTGGTCTCTATGTGCTACTGTACTTTGCACCTAGGGACCATTCTCACTACAGGCGGACCTCGGTTTTACGTAATTTTTGGTTTACGAATGAAAATCCATTGAAAATAATGCCTCGGTTTATGAATTTTTGGTGCAATACGAAAGGATTTATTGGTTTTCAATGCATTTACGATTTTTTTTCAATCATGTCCCTGTATAGTACTATGCCTTTAAAGTGCACTTTAAAAAGAGTTTTGAACAGATAAGACTTTTTTTACTTTTTTCTGACCTCCGGAACGGATTAATTAGTTTTCAATGCATTTATTAATTTTTTTTTTGATCATGTCCCTTTATGCCTTTAAAGTTCACTTTATAAAGATTTTTGAACAGATAAAACTTTTTTTTTGACTTTTTTCTGACCTCTGGAACGGATTATTTTCTTTTCAATGCATTTATGAATTCATTTTAATCATGTCCCTGTATAGTATTTATTCCTTTAAAGTACAATTTATAAAGAGTTTTGAGCAGATAAAAATTTTTTTTACTTTTTTCTGACCTCCGGAACGGATTATTTGCTTTTCAATGCATTTATGAATTCATTTTAATCATGTCCCTGTATAGTATTTATTCCTTTAAAGTGCACTTTATAAAGAGTTTTGAACAGATAAAACTTTGTTTGATTTTTTTTCTGACCTCCGGAACGGATTGATTGGTTTTCAATGCATTTACGAATTTTTTTGCAATACGAACGGATTAATTGGTTTTCAACGCATTTACGAATTAATTTTTAATCATGTCCCTGCACAGTATTTATGCCTTTAAAGTGCACTTTATAAAGAGTTTTGAACAGATAAAAGACTTTTTTTTTTAACTTTTTTCTGATTAACTGGTTTTCAATGCATTCCTATGGGAAACCACATTTCAGTTTATGAATTTTTCGCAATACGAAAAAGTCCTGCAGAACGTATTAAATTCTTAAACCGAGATACGCCTGTATTGTGTTACATGCCTTGTTGCCACATGATGCCATTCATTCTGAACGGCATCCCAAGCACCTTGCCAGTGGACTGACACACCTTCTGGTCCAATACCACAAATGCTATATGCACCTTTTTGTTGGGTTTGGACCCCCACTCAAATGATAGGGCTGCCATAATGCAATGCATGTTAACATGTGGCATAACGCAGCACAATAGTGTGAATTTGTCGTTTGTGTTTGCTTCTGTTTTACTTCACACAACAAGGAATGTTTCATTCAGCTTTCATATGCTTTCTTGTAGCCTTTACCTCCTGCATGTTTGTATCTTTCTATGGTCAATTTGTTTCTTTCAGAAATGTATTTGTATCATCAGTCAGACAAGTTCATTTTTGTTAAAGTGGTTGTAAACCCTTCCATATACCCAGTGAAGGGACTATCCTCAGATGATACACACAAGTGAAACAAATCCACCTACGTAAGTTGTACCTGTTTATCTGCAGTCTTCTCTTCTCTACAGCAACTCAAAGTGCTGAATTTTTAAAGCTTGTCTGAGAGTTCAGAAAAAAGGAGGTGGAGAGTTAAAATTACACTCTGCAGAGCTCAGTGAGGAGAAACCTGAGAGCTGATTGGCGGAAAGACGCACACCCCTCCACACAGCTCACAGGAACAGAGCTGAAGCCTGTCAATCTGCTGGTGGTCTCTCCCCTGTCGCCATTTTTGTCTTGGTGTCAGGAAAACTTGTCAGAAGTGATTCATGCTGAAAGCAAAGGAAAGGGGCGGCAGACAGAAATGACAGTGCTCTGGATTGAGACAAGTACGCACTATAGAGAGATATGCTTCATTCATATTTCATGTCTGAGGTTTACAACCACTTTAAGCATGGGATTCGGCAGATGACCCAGATATTTTTGGTAGAAGCAACTAAAGTGTTTGGTATCAGAATAAAAAAAAAAAAAAACAACGCTGATGATAACACAAGTTTGAAGGAACTTCCATAGGAAATGATCAGTTTTTGCAAGTGACCGTTTATCTGCAAGGGACAAACCAAGGCTTGCTGTTGCCATACTAAAGAACATCATGATACAAGCATACATTGGTAGAAAGCTATTGTAATTACAATCCAGTGAGCAGTTTGCTTCTTGTTGTCTCACCAGTGAGGAGCTGAGTTTGTGGTCAGTGTTGCCATACCTACTGTACATACAATTTACTGTGCCCGGTCTTCCTCCAGAGATGACATACAGCAGTGTAGTGAAGATCATCTTTCATTAGTGGAGCTGAATTCTATATTCTTGCCTCAGACCTGCACATTTTTTGAGCAGCAACAGAAGTTCAAATCCTTCTAGATTACATATAGGGACACCATGGAAGTGAGGTGATCAGTAAAAGAACAAATGATATTTTAGATACAGATAGTGTTTCACTTAAAAGTGCAATCTGCTGGAAATGCTGTGACTTGTCCTGTAACATCTAATCACTGTAATTCTCCACAGAATTCCTCGAAGATTTCCATGCTGAGGGCAGGGAATGCGTCAACTGTGGGGCAATGTCTACACCTCTGTGGAGACGAGATGGCACTGGACACTACCTGTGTAATGCTTGCGGACTGTACCACAAAATGAATGGAATCAACAGGCCACTTGTGAAGCCTCAGAAAAGGCTGGTAAGAGAACCCCTTAAATTGCAAGAAAATGTGTAGATAGAATTAAATGAAATTCAATGTTAGTGATATGTCACACAGATTTTAGTTTAGTGCTTAGATATCATAAAGAAAGCCTGTGAGAAGATAAACATGGGGGCTTCCATGATTTGTTTTGAAGGCATAATCTCTGTGGTTGTCACCCTGACCTTTGCTTCTAATTAAGGGTCACAGTTCCTGAGGGTGGATGATTGTAGACACTGCAGTAAACTGCTGTCTTCACAGACACCAAGGTGTCAGCCTTTCTTAGGGAATGGTAGCAATAAGTAGTAGAATTTTAGTTTCATTCAGTTGGTTCTTTCTCTAAAGCTGGCCATAGATGGATAGAATTTGGAAATCCAGCTCATTCCGTTGGTTCTTCCTCTAAAGCTGGCCATAGATGGATAGAATTTTTAAATCCAGCTCATTCAGTTGGCTCTTCCTCTAAAGCTGGCCATGGATGGATAGAATTGTGAAATCCAACTCATTCAGTTGGTTCTTTCTCTATAGCTGGCCATATATGGATATCATTTTGAAATCCAGCTCATTCAGTTGGTTCTTCCTCTAAAGCTGGCCATAGATGTATAGAATTTTGAAATCCAGCTCATTCAGTTGGCTCTGTCTCTAAAGCTGACCATAGATGGATAGAATTTGGAAATCCAGCTCATTCAGTTGATTCTTCCTCTAAAGATGGCCATAGATGGATAGAATTTGGAAATCTAGCTCATTCAGTTGGTTCTTCCTCTAAAGATGGCCATAGATGGATAGAATTGTGAAATCCAACTCACTCAGTTGGTTCTTTCTCTATAGCTGGCCATATATGGATATCATTTTGAAATCCAGCTCATTCAGTTGGTTCTTCCTCTAAAGCTGGCAATAGATGTACAGAATTTTGAAATCCAGCTCATTCAGTTGGCTCTGTCTCTAAAGCTGACCATAGATAAATAGAATTTAGAAAATCCAGCTCATTCAGTTGGTTCTTCTTCTAAAGCTGGCCATATATGGATATCATTTTGAAATCCAGCTCATTCAGTTGGTTCTTCTTCTAAAGCTGGCCATAGATGGATAGGATTTTGAAATCCAGCTCATTCAGTTGGTTCTTCCTCTAAAGCTGACCATAAATGGATAAAAATTTGGAAATTCAGCTCATTCAGTTGGTTCTTCCTCTAAAGCTGGCCATAGATGGATAAAATTTGGAAATCCAGCTCATTCAGTTGATTTTTTTCTCTAAACCTGGCCATAAATGGATAGAATTTTGAACGAACATTTTTAGGAAAATCTTAGCTAAATTTGTACGAGAACTCTCAAAACATTGGAATGTCTTTTGAAAATTTTTGTTTGCTTTTAACATTTGATTTAGGAATAAATGGACTTTACCAAATGAAAACCACATACACTGTTAGAAATTCTTTCTTTTTAGAAAAATTTTCCATCCTGCTCCTTTTTGAGCTTCCTCATCACTGAGGTCGAAAACAATTTGACCCATCAATGGTTAGAAAAATTAACAGACTTTCTCAGAACATTCTTTTGATTTGAAACTCTACCCACTCTACTGGGCGGCAAAGTGGCTTAGTGGTTAGCATGTCTGCCTAGCAGTAAATGGGTCATGGGTTCCTCCTGCATGGAGTTTGCATGTTCTCCCTGTGCTTGCGTGGGTTTCTTCCAGGTGCTCCAGTTTCCTGCCACACTCCAAAGACATGCTGGTAGGATAATTGGATCCTGTCTAAATTGTCCCTAGTATGTGTATGTATGAATGTGAGTTAGGGACCTTAGATTGTACGCCCCTTGAGGGTTAGGGACCTTAGATTGTCCACCCCTTGAGGGTTAGGGACCTTAGATTGTCCGCCCCTTGAGGGTTAGGGACCTTAGATTGTACGCCCCTTGAGGGTTAGGGATCTTAGATTGTACGCCCCTTGAGGGTTAGGGACCTTAGATTGTACACCCCCTGAGGGTTAGGGACCTTAGATTGTACACCCCTTGAGGGTTAGGGACCTTAGATTGTACACCCCTTGAGGGTTAGGGACCTTAGATTGTCCACCCCTTGAGGGTTAGGGACCTTAGATTGTCCGCCCCTTGAGGGTTAGGGACCTTAGATTGTACGCCCCCTTGAGGGTTAGGGACCTTAGATTGTACACCCCTTGAGGGTTAGGGACCTTAGATTGTACGCCCCTTGAGGGTTAGGGACTGATGTGAATGTTCAATATATATGTGTAAAGCACTGCATAAATTGACAGCACTATATAAGTACCTGAAATAAATAAATTACCCATCTATGTCCAGCTTGACTATTCTGCACGGCTTGTATAGCCTGATTCAATGACTTTAGTCAGTCACCATAAATATATGGGTTGGCCATACAAAGCTTAATTTTTGGAAACAATGCAACTTATTTTAGCGCTGCTTACAACAATCCAACAATAAATGTAGGATTTTATAGCTTAGCAATCATAGGCACTTTCTAGTTCCGGAAGTGTCTGGCATTGCAAATAATGTTTGTTCAGCATGCTGAATACTTGAGACTATATCCGAAAAAGTCCTATGATTTTCCCAGCTTAGCGTATTTGGCATTAGGACATTTTACTGGAGAAAAATTCCTGCAGTGTTCCATTGCTTCTATTGCTGCTATTACTGTTAAGCGAGCTGCTTTTAGCCCTGACACGAGGCAGGGGAGGTGTCCATAGTACACCTTTGAAACGACAGTTGCTTTAGATTAACACCAAGAATTGCAGTTTTTTTTCCAAGGTGCTAGATATTTTCCCTATAGATTGATGTGTGAGGCTAATGAGGTTGTCAAAGGCAGTGATCTGGAAAAGCTGCAGTCTATAAAATCGCTTTCCTAAGTCCCCTCTGGAGCATTAGTGACGTTGTTATGAGCTTCTGGAGAATCCATCGACATTTAATGCGATGCAGCAAAGAGTGCCAACAATAGGCCTTGTATGAATGCGTATAAAGGGGGGGGGGGGGGGGGGGGGTGTGTTGGATTTCTTTTATTATCTAACCTGTTGCCGGGAAGATTTTTAGGCATTTTTGTTGACAATATACACTGCGGTCAGATAAAAAATATTAAGTTGGAAAAATGGTGTTGCGCTACTTGCCCTAAGAATGAGTGAGCCTCAATGCAGAATGACACATAAAACTGCTGATAAGTGAGTGAACAATCCCATAAAACAGAAAATAAGTGAACAATCCACATAAAACAAGTAACTAGTGTGCACAATAATATTCACAGGAGTGCATCCACAGGATGTGTAACAAGTGGCAGCAACGTGGTCAAAAGGTGAAAAAACAACAAATGTCAGTGGATAAGTGACATAAAGGATAACATATAAAAACCAAAACCGCTGTCAATGTCAGTACAAAGTAGCATGAGGAAAAATGAAATGAAACGTGGCCAAATGGTGCCTAGAAAACATCAAGTGAATTGGATAAATAAGGAAAAAATTGTAATCAAATGGCAATATAAAAAGTGACACCAAACATAAGCGTGGCCAATAGGTGAATGCAATAACATGTAAACAATGCAATCAATGGCGAGAAAAAAATGGGCGAAAAAAAAGTCCCAAAAAACAAATGATGTGTGAATCTTCCGCACAAAGCCATGTAGAATGCAGTAACCAAACAAAAGGGCAATAAAAAATATTTGTGTTCAGACCGGCTGAGGACAGTGACCCAAACTTCCATCTTAGCATTTCTCTTATTCCCCTGGATGTCCAGTAAGCCATGGCAGTCAGTATCCATGTTTTCTGAAAGACCCAAAATCTGAGTATGCTCAAAAATACAGTGTGTTTTCTGATTCATAACATCGCCCAGCGTAGTAGTATGAGAGGGAGGTTGCACGGAATTATGCAACAAAAGCTCCACCCATAAGAACTTTGAAAAACCTGCTTGAATCTTGCTGCATTGGAGAGTGTAAACCTCAGGTTCATTTTAAACTGAATGCACTTGCAGTGACAATGTTTTTTAGTTGGAAGTCTGCAGAACCTCCCATTTATGCAGACTGGGTCAAACAAATGGGTGAGATGCTCAGGCTTCAAAGATATATATATATATATATATATCTCAACAGGGCGGGAGTCAGCAACCTGTAGATTGCGATTTGCCAGTAGATTGCAGCCAGGTCACTGGCAGATCACGGTCTGGTGGGCTAGCTGACCTGCCATCCCAGAGCATCAACCAGAGTACAATGCAGAGGAACTTCTTGTACAATTGGAGCTGTAGACAGGAGCAAGAGGCGCGTAAGCCGATGCCTCCTCTGTAGTGCCGGCTCTTGCCCTATACAGAGTGATACCAACTGCACTCCGCCTCTCATCCCGGCTAGCATTCTCCAGAGTGGTGTCAGCAGCAGGAAAGTAGAAATCTTCAGGTCAGTGTGAAGCAATACACTGGGCATTATAGTATAGTGCTGCTTTCACGCTGATGTGGTGCGGTTTACCCACCCCGCGGGTGGAGTGCAGTGTACCTGCAGCTTTTCTGCAGGTTTGCTGCGATTAGCCATAGACTTCTATTATATTCTGTTTGGTGCTCTCCTGAATGCAGGAGTTTTGGTATGCTTTCAGAAAGTGCACCACACCTGCAGGATATAATAGAAGTCTATGGCAAAACACAGCTAACCCAGGAAAGTCGCAGATGCACTATGCTGCACCCGCGGTGCAGGTAAACCACAGCACATCAGTGTGAAAGCAACCTTATAAGGGGGCTCAGGACAGTAAGGGTTCATTTACGTTTGAAGTTTGGGGGCTGGTAAAACTACGTAGTTAAATGGAGAAGGTGTGGAGCAGCATTTTCTTCATGAAAAGTAAGCATTTCAACCTTTTTACTACTCTTTGTTTAATGATTAGCACTGGCAGCACTAGGGTGTTTGGTTCGAATCCCAACCAGGACACTACCTGCATGGAGTTGGCATGTTCTCCCTGTGCTTGTGTGAGTTTCCTCTGGATACTCCAGTTTCCTCCCATACTCCAAAGATATGGTGGTAGGGTTATTGG